CCTTCCTTCCTTCCTTCCTTCCTTCCTTCCTTCCTTCCTTCCTTCCTCTCTCTCTCTCTCTCTCTCTCTCTCTCTCTCTGTCTTTCCTTTCCTTTCTTCTTTATTTCTTTGTATCCTACTTTTATGATTTTTACAAATAATTCAAAGCAGCAAACAGATCTTCTTCCACCGCTTAGTTTCCCCACAACAACAATCCTGTGAAGTGTTTTGGGCTGAGAGACAGTGACTGGCCCAAAGTCACTTAGTTGGCTTTTGTGTCTAAGGCAGAACTAGAACTCACTGTCTCCTGGTGATTGGCCCAAAGTCACCCAGCCGGCTTTCCTGCCTAAGGCAGGACTAGAACTCAGAATCTCCCCATCATTAGGCCAGTACATTAACCACTAAACTGGATCTCTTTATAATAAGCAAGTTGATAAATGTTCATCATAGAACTCTTGCTGATTGCTTTGACTGTAACTAATCAAAGCTAGTCACAGCCAATGAAAATAAAGACGAAGCTGTAATCGTTCAGCCTTACTTTGAAGTTTACCCTCAGCTGGGAAAAAAGGAACAATATTTTTAGAAGACAGAAATTCTGTGCATGTGGGCATAATAGAGCTGCTTTCCTGTAATCGGTGTTTGATCATGCTTCCCTCTTATCCATCTTATAAAAGTACTTTCTCATGAACTATGTGAAAAATCCTCATTCTGTAATACCATTCTTTATGTGAATGAAACACTTAAAAAAAAAACCCTTACCTTTTCTTTAAGTAACTATTTATAGGTTTTGGTGCCTTAGTATATTTCTTTTGGTTTTTAAAACCTGCAAAACAAAACAAAGCAAAAATCTTAAAAATAAGTTTACATGATAACATTAAAAAGAAAACACGGTCCATAATTCAGTGGTGTGTTTTTCCTCCTTCAGCAATTTCTCCATTGATTTCATTTACTCATAAGTTTACTACCCCACTGCTAAAATTAAAAGGGAATCTCCCCCAATTTCTACAGAAGCATTTATTTTTTATCATCATTTATAGATTAAATCATAGCCATTTAATTTAACATGGTACTAATTAACCAGTTGGGCCCTCCATATTATAAGGCATGTTTTTAATTCTGCTTTCAAATATGCCTATACGTACACCAATGTTACTGGAGAGCCACCATCCCAGCCAAAGAGGAGGGATCAAACAGCGGATTAGCATGGACTAATTATGTAAACACAAGAGGGCGAAGTCCCCCTTATCTGGTCTCTCTTAGGCAAATCTGCCAGTGTGGGAACATTCCTGTATTATAGGCAGGGAACAATAAAGTGGCTACTTTGAACTCTACATTGATCTGATTATTGGTGCCTGACAGATATAGTCGAAACATTTTAAAAGGTAAGGTCCTCCAACCTCACCTGGAGAAGAATGAGAACCAAGACATAAAAGGGATGGTATGGTTTTCTTCTCATTCAGGTTTTGTGGAACAAACAGGCTGATTTTTGGGATACAGAAAGAGATTCGTTTCACTAGGCTGAATCGTCAAGATCCAACCACAACTGCATTCTCTCTTTTCCCTGATTAATCACGGTTGCCATTTACACACTTGGGAAATCATATACAGTATTGCTCCTATGGCTAGTGGTATTATTTGAATGCAATATATTGCAAATGAGTGCAATGAGGCAACATTTGAAGCCCATTAAATGGCTGGTATGAATGTATATTGTCGGTGGGGTTGGGAGGGTGGGACTTATTGTTTTATTATTTTTTATTATTTTTACTTTTATTTCTTTTATATTGTGCTTTTACGTCCTCGTAAGCTACCTTGAGAGTAGGCGACAATATAAATTTTTCTAAATAAATAAATAAAATACAGCCCAGCAAGACATCCCTGCAGCGTGTAACTCTTTTCCCACTCACATTAAATGCCTGCCTTAATAAAATTTTAAAAAAGAATTAATTAAATGTTAATCAATCCCTTAAGCATAAACCCTCCTCATTACATTTGCTAATTGCATTGTGGATATTTACCTTTATTATCAAAGAACATAGTAAGTTTTTGCTGATCAGAAAACTCTACAGGATTTCTTTTCTGGATACTGCAGTGTTTGAACTGATTCCAGTTTGGATTCTGGTTTATTGCATTTAACCTTTGGCTGTTAAGGGAGCAAATCATCTCTGGAGTAGTGAGAATGCTTGTGAGGTCCCTCTCAGCTGCACAGTGGATAGGAGGTATCATCTGATGCATTTCTTCACCATCGTACAGGCTGGGTTTACTGAATATTTCATTTGCATCTCCAAAATCTGTGAATAGCTGGTCAATATGGCTTTTGTTAGCAAAAGAACAGTAAGACTGAGAAGAAGGAAACGCCAGAAATTGATTTTCTTCTTCAAACAAACTTGCAATTGGCTGGAAGTTTACATCTTGGTTAGTCTTCATCTGGTCATTTACAGTATGAAACAATGATATTTCTCCATTTGCTTGACTGTTTCCAGAATCCTTATCAGTGGAATAACTGTATCCTGGACTTGGGGGTTAGAAATGGTAAAATGTGAATTGCTGGTATGTTACAGACAGTATCAATGTATAAGGTTTTAAAATTTATTTTTTACTTAATATGAAAGACGGACTTCTTGCTCACATGACATTGTTTTGGGGTTTAGAATATTGCAATAATCTTAATATAGATTTTTATCCTTAAACAAAAACTGGAAATCTGAGTTTCCTATATTTTACTTGAAATATATTGTTCAATAACTGTGATTAACCAGTCGAACCACTGTATGTCACTGTGGCTCCATTAATGTGAGGAAAAGAGGGGTAATAAAAGTCACAGGAAATGAAATCAAAGCACAAAATACCTAATGAAAGCTCTTTAAGAGTTGGGAAATGTTCTGATTTGGGCCATTGCTCATTTTATACCTAATATTTTAAGCAAATCAAATAGAAGCAGCAATACTGTATTTAATCATCCATTCATTTATCTGAATGTGTACATTTCAGAAAAAAAGAACTACCATACTCTGTCACATTTGATAATATTCTCTTTAATTTGATATTACTTAGGTAGTGCTCAAATACATTTAGCTTTAGGTACTTAAGCTCATTTGTAAACACGATAGTCCAGCGAAATGAACAAGATAGCTGGAAGATTAGCACAATTCTGATTTCTAAATCAGGCATGGATGCAAGTGTCTGCTTATTTTCAATAAAACAGGGACTGAGGAGAACTACAGTGAGATAGATATAAGCTTGAACTGTTTCTTGCTATCTCAAACAATAGCATAAGATTTCAACAATCTAATTTTATATGTATGTGAAATAAAATGACATAATAATTGATTAACCCCTGCTTTTCATAAGAAATTATAACTTTATTAAAAATTCACATGGAAAAATCAGTGCTACAAAGCAAGGGGTTTTCCCCACAAAAATGACACATTTAAAAATACTGTAACACAATTAATAAATAATCTATTTTTACCTAGTCAGTTGCTGGAAATATAAACCAACTGGTGCTTCTGAATCTGATGTAGATAATTCTTCTGGCCTGTAGGCTGTTGTAGAAAGCCAAAGGTTTTCTTTATTATTTAGTGGCCAAGAAGATCCTAACTCCTGTCAATACATTAGAAAAGACTTCATGACAAATTAGAAATTTTCTAAGAAATTTATTCATTTTATAAACTTAACTTCAATGTTAGGAATATGTTTTTCTTTGGAGAAGAACTGGCCAACAAACAGTTTGTTCTTTTACATCATGGAACTGTCTAGTAATATACATTTATTTGTTTTACAATGCCTGTATTTTATTGGGGTCTTTTATTATACTGATGGATTTATATATCATTTTAGTATTGTTTTGGGAAGGGTGATTTAGAGCTATATAATGAAGAAGAGGCTTATGTTAAAAGCCTTCTATTCTACAAGCTGATGTTAGAATTGCTCTAAAATTCATTCCATAAATACAATCCCTTGTGTTACATCTGACACAGAGATACAAGTGATAAATCTTTACTGAAAAGACCTTACTTCAGAATGAACACTGTTTTTTTCATAGAGGTATTTTCTTCTACTATCCAAGATTTCTTCTTGTATCCTATGAAGAAAACAGGTTAAAAAGCAAAACAAATCATTGGTGTATTTAAAAAAACCAACATATGATTTATGCATTTTCAGCTAGAGGAAAATTTGTTTTGAAACAAATTTTAAAAATGTACTTCTGTAGGATAATCTTATTCAGGTCTACCTAGATTTAAGTCCTGTTGTCTCCAGTTTTAAATAAACGTGCATACAATTCTGCTAATAGTTAACAAATCCAATGCACCTTTAGATCTGATATAATAGGAAGAGTCTTGGAGTAACTTCAAGACTAACAACCATGTTGTGGTTCAAAATCCATTTTGTGAGAGGGTTATCTAAATTAACTACTGCATACATTGCCTGAAATATAGAAAGGAAACAGCATTTAATAAGCAGGAAAAAAGTTTTTATCAGTGCAAAAGTGAGCGAATTATCCTTTTATTATATTAGTAGTACAGACTAGGACAGAGTAGTAGTACAGTAGTACAGACTAGTTCTTGACTTACAACCTTTCATTTAGTGATTGTTTGAAATGACATGGAAAAAGTGACTTATGACCATTCCTCATACTTATACTGTTGCAGCATCCTCATGGTCATATGATCAAAATTTGGACACTTGGTGACTGACTCATATTTATGATGGTCATAATGTCCTGGGGTCATATGATCACATTTTGCTACTTTCTGATAAGCAAAGGCAATAGGGGAAGTGTTTTATGTAGAAATTACATATTATGAGTTATACCTGTGGAAATGAAGAACAGAAGGGAAACCATACTTATCCGATATTTGAACAATGCAATTATTATTGGACAGTTATATAACTATATCTAATAAACATGTACTGTTTTGTAACTTGTTATGTTCTAAAGTAAATGTCAGGCTTTTGGGTAGAACATGGGCCTGTACTTTTTGGCATAAGGATATGTGTAGGAGATACTAGGTTATCCTGACTCAAAAGGAACTGGTTAATGATCTATTGTATTACAGATGGTCATAACAGGACCATAACAGGAAGAAGAAGCCATGAGAATGAGAGTAGTTTCCAAGGACAAGGAAACAGGTATTACGCTACAATCATATAGGTGTTGCGTAGGGAGATACATAGCTTGGATAGATTGTGAACCCAGGAAAGGGGCAGAGACTGCATATTTCAACCTGTATATAAACCCCAGCCCTCCTGGGAACCATGTCTTCTGCCATGAGCAGAATTCCCTTTTGCAAAAGCTTAATAATAAAGCTCTTGTTCACATATCTCCAAGTTGTTTTTTGATTATTATCACAGGAAGCCAGATTCACTTTGCAACCATGGTACTAATTTAACAAGTACAATGATTCACTTGACAACTGTGGCAAGAAAGGTATGGAGTAAAATGGAGTAAAACTCACTCAACAGCTGTCTCGCTTAGCAATGGAAATTGCTACAGGACTACCTATCGCCTAAATGGGATGGTTGAGTAAGATAATCAGCAAATTATATGCAAGAATTTAGTTAGGAATGTATAGGTATTTTTTATAAGTTTCATAAAGAGAAATGAGGTTGAAAGTTCTGAGCTAGCAAGTTTTCATTTAACAACTTGATGCCCTGTAATCTACATTCTCATGAGCTTAGGAACATGGAAATGTTTGGAGATTTTAATGAAGAGTACAATATGTACTTATGGATATCAACTGCCCTAAAGATTTCATTACCTTTCATCACATTTTTATATATTCACATCAATTTTAATGTAAGGCAATGCCTGCAAAAAGGAAATGATAACAGAAATCTTAATACTTTTAAGCATATGATTGGAAAATAGTCAGCGATGACATCTAAAAAAATTGCACCTGAAAATGTAGCATAGGAAAGAAATAAACGCATTTCACTAAAATGTAAAAAGTTGATATTTTATGTACCTGTGCTGGATGTCATCAAGGGACAACTTAGTTGGTTTCCATTCTGGTGACTTGGGAAACTCTACATTTTGTTTTCTCAAAGGAATTTGAGTTTCTCTGTTAATATCTACATGAATTGGCTTGCGAATATTCTCTGTAATTAAAATGAAGATTAGCAGAATTACAGTGATATACTGATGTGTATACACACACACACACACACACATACACAGAGAGATGTTTTGTTCAGCATATTATCAGAACTGAATCCAAACTATTATACAGTTTTAATTCTCTCTAGCAATTCTATGAGTTACAGTTTTTTGTGAGAATTTCCACTTCCAATTACACTAGTTAAGTTGTAGTTTGGAGGAAAAATGCAATTTAAATTTGATGAAATGAATACTATAGTTACAGGGCATCTAGGACTTGGCAATGTGTCTTGTTTTTTGAAAGCTAAGCTGCATTAAATGCATTCTTAAACTTACCAGCATTTTCTTTCTTTGTAGAGATCTGATTAACAACGTAGAGATTGAGAAGGTCCAAACTGACAGCTGAGCTTTTTAAAGAGGATACTCCCAGTAGCTTCATCTTTGACTTAAGTTTTTCCTTTTCAAAAAAATCCTATTGCATTGAGAAGAGGCAGCAGTTATCATACAATTGTTCATATAGGACATTTTGCGTACCTATATTTTAACCAAGTTTGTTTTCTCTGTATATTAACAAAGTGTATCTATCTATCTATCTATCTATCTATCTATCTATCTATCTATCTATCTATCTATCTATCTAATCTATCTGCATGGCAGGGGAAGGATACTGTAAAATCTCCATTCCTCCAGGGGAAGGTTACTGCAAAATCCCCCTTCCCTTCCCTTCCCTTCCCTCCCCACCCACTAACCTGCTTTCCAGCTCCATTCTCCTCTGCAGGGCAACAAAAGAAAACCCAGCCGATCATCTGGGATTCAGAAGGCAGACAATAGACAGGGTTGGGGCCAGTCAGAGGTGGTATTTGCCGGTTCTCCAAACTATTCAAAATTTCCACTATTGGTTCTCCAGAACTGGTCAGAACCTGCTGAATGCCACCTCTGGATGGATCCAAAATCACTCAGGATCTTACAGTGGATTATTGAGTCTGCCCAAATCTAGCTAAAAATCTGCACACCGGTGATTGTGAACAATGAATGATTTTAAAATAGCATTCAATATATCTGAAAACAGCTACCATATAACTCCACTGTTATATATTAGGCAAACTTACACATTCTAGTTATAAAAACTATTATGATGATAAAAATGACGGTGATGAAGATTTCTGGATACCTTGAGTATATTTTGAGAGCTTACTTACCTTCTGTTTTCTTTTCTCTTTGGTAAGCATGATTCTTCGACTAGAAGTTGGAAGAGAGAAAAGAATAAGCTTTTTTAGAACAGTTTATAAAATTAATGAATGTACAGTATAATATTGAAGCCACATTTATTCAGCCACTAAATCAGAAGGGATTATTGATTAAATTTCTTGCTGAATTAATTCAAAATTATGAACTCTTAAAATTAGTGGGGTGAAAGGGAAGATTCCAAAGAAGTGAGAATATTTGAATAATGATGTTAAACATTTTTGGACCTGTTCTATTTATTGCATCATTTTTTTCAGGTCTTCCCTTCCTTTATTGCTGTTACTGTTATTATTAGATTTTTGTCCCACCTTTCTCTCTCTTTCTTCCTCATCTTTATACTCAAGGGAGCAAATATATTCTCAAATTAAATTCTCCTGCCTCCCATTTTCCGCAGAACAACAACCTTGAAAGGTGGGTTATGCTGACAAAGAGACTGGCTCAAAGTCACTCAGCCACAGACGTGGTACTCAGCCAGTTCTGACCAGTTCTAGCGGGAATTTTTAGTAGTTCAAAGAACTGGCAAATCCCACCTCTGACTGGTCCTGCCCCCATCTATTCTCTGCCTCCCGAGTCCCAGCTGATTGGCTGGGTCTTCTTTTATTGCCCTGCAGAGAAGAATGGAGCTGGAAAGCAGGTTAGTGGGGTGGGGAGGAAATGGGATTTTGCAGTAACCTTCCCCCAGGAGTGGGGAGGGAATGGAGATTTTATAGTATCCTTCCCCTGCCATGCCCACCAAGCCACGCCCACCAAGCCCACAGAACTGGTAGTAAAAAATTTTGAATCCCACCACTGCTCAGCCAACTTTCACAGCCTACCTGTTAATTACCAAATTGCCTTCTATTATTATCATTACCATTTTTCATCACATGTAATCCCTTATGATAAATTTATGTCAACTATTAGCACAATCAATATTGCATATTATCAGCATATATTATTGCAATCATCGTCACGTGTTAATTCACTATTAAATCCTGCATAGCGTTATCATAATTCATTATTCTATATCCCTATTTATGATGATTGGTTGGCCTGCACAGCATAATAAATATTGCACCTTATCTATGTTATAGTAATCATTTGCTATTAATATATCCATGACATCATCAGAATTCATTATGATTTATTTATTTGATTTATATATCGTCCATCTCAAGAATAACTCCAGGTGGTTTACAATTCAAAAAATATATAATGCAATTAAAATAATGAAAACATTTTAAAAACAATAAAAAAACTAAATATAAATATGACATGAAAACATTTATCTGAAATAAATAGGCATTTGTATCCCGATTTATGGTTATTGACTGGCATGATTACCATAATGCGGTAAATTCTGCATATTATCATATTAATTAAATCATCATTTGTCATTAATGTACACATAATTTATTTAGTTAATTATTCAATGTATACAACCACCCATCTCAGTCAATGACTCTGGATGGCTTGCAATTAAAAAAAAACATACTACAATGAAAAAATAAATAAAAATAAAAAACTAAATAAAAATTGTTTTATCCAAAATAAATAGGCAAATGTGTCCCTATTTATGGATACTGACTACCATGATTAGCATCCCAGAGCTTATTATCATCATATATTTTTATAAATACATAAATTTTAAATATCTGAGGTAAGGTTTCCACTAGTATTTTTGAGGAAAGGTAATATTAAAAAAGAAGAAGGAAGAACTACTCAAAACATGGCTGTATCATCTCTAGCATTATAGTTTTCTGTTTTTAATTTCCTCATGATACTGAGAGATGCTCGGTTGTTTTTGGACAATTAACATTTTACAAAAATGTTGATTCTTTGGGATTTAGGACAGAGAAGAATATCCCCATAAAATAGACCATAATGGAGGCCACGAGGTGTTAATCTGACTTCAAAATGAAGAAATCTGATGCCTTCTTCCCTCATGCCAATATTTTAAAATATTTCTGGAATAGAAATAGAATAGAATAGAATAAAATAAAATAGAATCAGAAGAGGAAGAAAGGCATATTGGATTCATTCACGGCCTTAGATTGTTTGTGTCATCAATAAAGGCTGGATACAAATTAAATTAAAATAAAAAATAAAATGTAAAATAACCCAGCCTGGAAGTAGAGTGTCAACCTTAAAGCAGACAATATGTCCCCTCACAACAAAAGGGGGAACAGTTGTGTCATTGTGAGGCCTTTTTGGCGTTACTCACCGGGACCCCCCAACCCAGTTCATTTTTCCTTCGTCCTGCCAACGCCACCACTGACAGGAAGGCCACCCAGACGCCACGCCCCCCCGCCTGAAAAGGAGGAAAAAAGAGGAAAAAGAAAAAGAGGAAAAGGAAAAAGAGGCAGCCCTTGAGGAGAAATGTCGGCCCCCACAAGGGGTGACCACAAGAATGGCTGAGGGGAAGACTCTCCCAGGTGGGTTAGCTTCTTTCTGAACCCGGGGCCTCAGTGGGCACCTCGGGAATGAAAAATTATTAAAATAAAATAAAACAGAGGCAATGAAATAAGGAGCAAGATGGGTGGTGGGAAGGAAGAGGGGAAATAAAGATTTGGGGAAGGGCTTGCAAAAGCGAGGTGCGTCAGCCAAGTTTTGGCATTTGCAAGCAAAATCCCTCCATGCACATGCATAAAATTGCAAGGGTTGAACTCAAATCCCTGTTAATACCCTTCCCTGCCTTTGGGGTCCTTATGGAGAGGCTGCTGGCCCCCACCCCACCCCAGAGAAAATCCAGGGTCCCTTAAAGCCATCCCCCTTTTAACAGAACTTTAACAGATAATCAGAGTTGGAAGGGACCTTGTAGGTCATCTAGTCCAACCCCCTGCCCAAGCAGGAGACCCTACACCATTTCTGACAGATCCAGTCTCTTCTTGAAAGCCTCCGGTGATGAAACTCCCACAACTTCTGAAGGCACCTTCTGTTCCATTGGTTGATTGTTCTCCCTGTCAGAAAGTTTTCTCCTTATTTCCAGGTTGAATCTCTCCTTATTTATTTATTTATTTATTTATTTGATTTGCCAATTGTTTACAAGATAATAAGTATAAGTGTATACATAGTTGTGAATACATGAAATGGGTACATATAAGAAAGATAAAAGAAGAATAAGAGAAACAATAGGACAGGGACGGTAGGCACGTTGGTGCGCTTATGCACGCCCCCTACAGACCTCTTAGAAAAGGGGTGAGGTCAATAGTAGACAGTCTAAGGTTAAAGTTTTTGGGGTTTGGGGAAGAAACTACAGAGTCGGGTAGAGTATTCCAGACATTGACCACTCTATTGCTGAAGTCGTATTTCCTGCAATCAAGTTTGGTGCGGTTAACTTTGAGTTTGTATCTATTGTGTGCTCTTGTGTTGTTATGGTTGAATCTGAAGTATTCATTGACAGGTAGGACATTGCAATGTATGATTTTATATACCATGCTTAAATCAGACCGAAGACGGCGTAATTCAAGGTTTTCTAGTTCTAGAATTTCAAGTCTGGTGGCATAAGGTATTCTACAACGAGTAGAGGAGTGGAGAACTCTTCTTGTGAAATATTTCTGGACTTTCTCAATTGTGCTAATATCAGATACGTAATGTGGGTTCCAGACTGATGAACTGTATTCGAGTATTGGTCTAGCAAATGTTTTGTATGCTCTGGTTAGTAGTGTGATATTACCAGAGAAAAAGCTATGTAGGATTAGGTTAACAACTCTTAATGCCTTTTTGGCTATGTAGTTGCAGTGGGCTCTAGCACTTAGATCATTAGAGGTGAGTATTCCAAGGTCCTTTACAGAGCTTGGGTCATCAACAAGATCTTGACTATTCAGCTTGTATTTTATTTTCTGATTTTTTTTGCCAATATGTAAGACAGAGCATTTATTTGTTGAGATTTGAAGTTGCCATTTGTTTGACCATTCTGATACATAGTCAAGATCTCTTTGAAGGGTAGCAATATTGTCTGTGGTATTGAACAGCTTTACATCATCAGCGAAAAGAACGCAATTGCTTTTAATATGATCACAGAGGTCGTTTATGTAGAGTATGAAGAGAGTTGGTCCTAGAACACTGCCCTGGGGGACACCACTATTGACAGGTACTGGATTTGATAGGACGCTCCCGATTTTGACCATTTGTTGTCTGTTTGCCAGGAATGCTTCTATCCAGTTATTCAGTTGTCCAGAGATACCATAGGATTTTAGTTCCCATCCATTATTCCTTGTCTGGCCTTCGGGTGCTTTAGAAAAAGCACCCGAAGGCCAGACAATTTTTAATTTAATTTAATTTTAACTTTACATTTTTTAATGTAAAATCTGGGTGGATTCCTCCCCAGGGGCATGGAGATCTCTCTGGGGCTGGCAAGAGGGTGTGATTGATTCATTGGTCAGATTCCCTAAATGCCAATATGGCTGGAGCTAATCTCACCTACAGGGGGAAAATTGTATTTTATTTTATTTAATTTATTTATATTCCGCCTTTTATTATTTTTACAAATAACTCAAGCTGTCAGACATAACACACCTTCTTCCATATATGTTTGTGTATGTGTATGCATATGTATGTATGTTATGTTATTGTATTATTTATTATTATTGTATTATATATTATATTATAATCTTATGCTATTATGCTATTCTATATTGTATTATATTATGCTATATTGTATTATATTGTGCTATATTATGTTATAATATATAATATCTATTATATTATATAATGCTATATTATGCTAAAGTATATTAATTATATTATTTTTTACTATATTATACTATACTGTACTATACTATAGTATTATATTAATTTATATTACATTTATATTTATATTATTATATTTTTATATTTAATATATTTATATTTCTTATTTTATATAATGCTATATAATGCTGTATTATATTATAGTATATTAATTATACTATGTTATACTATACTATACTGTTGTTTTTTGTTATGCTATGTTATGTTATGCTATGCTATACTATATTATACTATACTTACTATACTATAGTATACTATATTATAGTATACTACACTACACTACACTATATTATAGATGTGGAAGGCTCCTCCTGGAATAGGCCAGGCTGAATGCTGTCTCTCAGGTCAATAGCACTTGCTGGATGTTAATTTCATGCCTCTGGAGTTTTCATATAAAAATTCCCACTTGATTAAGCCAAATGAATGCATGGCAAAAAGTGTACAGGTGGTCCTTGACTTACGGCCATTCATTTAGCGACTTTTCAAAGTTACAACGGTGCTGAAAAAAGTGATGTATGACCAATCCTTGCGTTTACAACCATGGAAGTCAGAGGTGGCCTTCAGCCGGTTCTGACCAGTTCTGGAGAACCGGTAGCAGAAATTTTGAGTACTTCAGAGAACCGGCAAATCCCACCACTGACTGGCCCCGCCAACCCCATCACTTCTCTGCCTCCCATTGAGTCCCAGCTGATTGGCTGGGTCTTCTTTTGTTGCCCTGTACAGGAGAACGGAGCTGGAAAGCAGGTTAGCGGGGTGGGGAGGGAATGGGGATTTTGTAGTATCCTTCCCCTGCCATGCCCACCAAGTCACACCCACAGAACTGATAGTAGAAATTTTTGAATCCCACCACTTGGTGGAAATGTCCCCGGAGTCATGTGATCAGAATTTGGGAACCAGGCACTACTTATGGCGGCTGCAGCGTCCTGAGTCACATGACTGCCACCCTCCCAGGGGGCTTCTGACAAGCAAAGTTAATGGGATCATCAGCTGGATTTACTTAATGACCATGTGACTCACTTAGTGACTGTGGCAAAATTGGGCGGGGTCGCATGATGTCTCACAACAACTGCATTGCTTAGTGACAGAGGTCAAAATTAGTGGTGGTAAAGTCAAGAACTCTCTGTAAGTTAGTATGTATATTGCTAAATCTCCCCACTGTCCCTATCTGCACCAGAGCTGTACAAAGGAATGGGTAAGATAGGAATAAAAAGAGAATTGTTTAATTGGATTTTTAAAAATTTATTTATAGTACTTTATAAATGCACTCTCTCCTTTCTTAGCTCCCGTAGTTTGGACCAGCCTGTAAAAAATGAAATACTCTGTTCTTGATGCTCCTGACTCTTCCCAAACCAATTACCCTTACCAGTGTAAGTTTTTCTTTTTTTTTTTTTTTAAATGCTGCTACACCCCACCCCCCCGGGTTTAATTTTTAAATAGGAGGAAGCTAAAGATCACACTTAACCTGGCATCAATCCTTTTTTTTTTTTCTTTTTCCAATTCCCATTAGTCGTAATTCTATTCCAAATGCAGGAGGCATTATTGATTATTCAATAAAAAAGGAAGGACAACCAAGTATACATGCTTACACGGCTGATTTCATAAACAGATGGAATAAGGAGGGCTTTATCTTTGATAACATTTTAAACAGAAATGCAGATGAAAAGGTACAAAAATATGAGACAGGATCATACAGTAAATAGGATCGGCATGTATTCATTTATGCACTTATTTTGTAAATGAATATATTGTCCACCCCTAAATGACTTTGCATAGATTAAAAAATAGATAGATAGATAGATAGATAGATAGATAGATAGATAGATAGATA